TTGATCTTTGAACGGCATCATCACATGACATCACATTCCAGACTTCAAAGCAAAAAAAAAAGAATAAAATTATTTCATTCTAATGTTTACATTTAAAATTGCACACACACACACACAGAAATTCCAGAATTATATTAGGCCTACTTCTAAATAACAAATAGGAAAATAATGAAAAAATGAATAAAGAATAATGCTCGTACTTAGAAACATAAAAACAAAAACCACTTCAAATGTGTTCAGTGGATTCCATAGACAACGATTATTGCTTATTATTATTATTCATTGCCCAGCAGATATTGTCGTCATTATCATCATTATCATTTAGTAACATGAGGAGAACACTGGCTTTGCTCTCTGTGGGAACGCAGCATTACTCTGGTATTATTATTTTTATGAATATTATTATTATTATTATTAATACACTGGGATACTGTTCAGCTGGGAAGCACCAGTGAGGAGGGGAACTGAGGAAAGTAAAAAAGGAAAGTTAACTACCAAGTGAGTGGCAAAAATATGTGTCTGTTATTTGATCCTAGGTCAATATGTATCTGTGGCGCAATCGGCCAATGTGCTTAGCAGTTAACTGAGAGGTTGGTGGTTTGAGCCCACCCAGCGACGAGCGAAGACTCTTCCTCTGAAGCGTAACTTTTAGGCATTGCCTCAAACCGGTCGATATACTAGTTGGTGTCAGTTTGTTATTGTTGTTGTTTATTATGAGGATATGAATATGAGCTCCCGGTAAACGTGTAAGAAAACTACTTTGTAGCCGTGTTGTTACGATGTTGGATGTTAAAGGACATTTTGCATAGACTTTATGCTTATTATTTCCTAAAATTAGATTAAAATGATTGCCAATATATCGCCTTGTTTACAGTGTATTGAACTGTAACCCCTGTGTTGTGATCACTATCACCAGCCAATACACAGACCTAGCTAGGTAGCATATATATTTAAGTAATTTCCCCCTAGTATTTCTGATTCTGATATAGCGAATAACTGGTTGTGGTTAACAATATTAACATTTCTTTTCAGTGACAGTGAGAATTTGTAAAAAAAATGTATAGGTAGTACAAGTAGAGACAGATACATGTTTTGATCCCACATGCACATGGAAACTGGGAACTAGATAATAAAAAGTTTTCTTTTATTTAGATTTACAGAGCAGTTTCTTTTGAGGGACACAAAATGTTTTTGTATAAACACCAAACTGTTTAGATGTACTGAAACTTTTTTTTTGTCATTTTAATCAGCTTTTGGGGAAAATGTCTATTTGATACTTTGGTTATACTAATGTCGTCTTCATAACCATAGCTCTTGCGGTGCGCTGACCAGGGAACGCAGGAAAAGGCTTTAAAGCTGTGAAACTTCTGCTTCCTTTTATGCTGCATTTTCTTCGTACTTTATACTTATTTACTGAGACGCAGCCTCTGTCTGACTGGTCTCCAAACTACATCATTAATAAGCATTAATAAGTAGTTTAAAAACACACAAACGGCAACCATTTAGTGCAATAAGCTGATAATTAGCCTGATCAGCCAGTGTCAGTAATCGATAGACACATTATTAAAGCATTAATCAAAGTAAGTCAACGCAGTCAATGTCAGATAATATTAAAAACATGCAACATGAGCGAAAGGCAGTCATATGTATATATATCTTTAAAGGTCACACAAACAAGCAAAACGTTGCAAAGCGAAGATGAAGGAATTTGCACACGTGTGGCCCTGAAACTGCGGATGTCTCCGGCTCGGCTCTGCAGGCCGATGTTTCTCATCTCTCTCGAGAACCGGGCATCCAAACTACTTTGAACTTCCTCAGCAATCGACCCGCCAAGTGGGAAGGAGATTGGATGTCGAACGGTTGTCAAGGATGGATTCCTTCCTTTTTTTTAGTCAGATCTCATTGCTATATTTTCAGCATATTGACTTATCCACACCACATATATGTACGTCAGAAAACAGGTGACAGTTAGAAAGTAGAGGACAAAGAACACAGAGTCTATGATTTCTGCCACTCGTCTGTAGCGTCGAG